AGCTTATCATGACCCATACGGACACCAGGGAAAATCATCATCATCAACGTATAGCGAGATACAGTGAAGCGAACTTCACTGATCGCTGCCAAGCTCACTGGAGAAAAACACCCAAAGCACTGAAAACTCAATCAGAAATGGACTGTGGATCAAGTTCTTGAAAATATAAACTTGGCTATAAAGAAGTTATAGTGGATAATCGCGTTTAGGATGTAAAAAAGGATTGAAGATAATACTCACCATCCTCTCAAAACAATTTGTTATGAGGACATTGAACAGATGCAAGTTGTACAGTTTTCAGTAATATAGGAGCATTCAAAAGGGACAGAATGAAAAAGAGCACGTACGATGCGATCGCGTTATTCAAATCCTTATCACGCCCGGTAGTTTGGTCGACCAGTTTCATACTCAGACCGATTTTACCATTCTAGTTGAGAGAAGAGATGAGAAAGACAAATAAGACGTAGTTAGTACGAACGACGGAGTAAATGAGTAATGCAATGAGGAACCAATTAGATAAATTCGAATGTAATAATATTAATAATAATAGTAATAGGGCGACATCAAAGTGTTTGAGTCGTAAAAAGATAAGGGCCATTGGTGGGATTCGCAAGCGTCACGGTGTGGCGCCCCACCATCAGTTGACGGGGTGATGAAATGTGAATAGATCACAGATATCGGTGTGCCTCGCATCTGTTTTTTAGAACATAAGTCGTAACAAAGCGTCGTCAGTGTCCATGTGTGGACGCAAATTTAACCGAGGCTATCAAGGTTTAGACAACTAAAGATAAATTAGCTTAAAAAGGACCAGAACGGTTTTCAGTTGCAATGAGCACAAACTGTTGAAGTCCACGAGCAATATTATTAAGTTCCATGGATTTTCCAATCAGCTAACTGGTGATAAACACTATCTAAAATTGACGACGTCGATAGAAGTATTACGCATTATTTTTCGTTTATTTTTATCTGTCTAGCACAAGATCTTCATAAGGTTTAGATTATCTAATTTGCTGGTCATTAATCGTGATAAATGGTTGAGAGGGAGAGCTGTTATGGTACAGCTTATTTAAACTTCCACGCTGGAGGTACATTTTCATCTATGAGATATTTTAACTCCAGTAAACAGATGAAGCTTACATTGCAATCACGGCATTGACAACTCACTATACCAAGGAAGTGCGAGAAGAAATGAACGGACGGTAATCGATTTCCTGCGGAGGGACGGGTTAGTAATCGTCCGATTCATTGTTACCACCTAGACATCGGGGCCTCATGTGACTCACCAATGCAAGATTCAGGGCCAGGTTGCCGGTTCTTTCTTTTATTACACTATGAACACACCAAAAATAATACTCATGTGCATCAGCCGAAATTCGCGGCTTAAACAGCAGTGACGACCCCGCACATTATTGCAGTTCACTTGACTTCTTTCTATATTTTGTTCGAAAACCAACTTCTTTCTATTGCAGACTGTTGTATCTCGCCAAACTATCACCGAACCTGGGCCCAAGTTGAGTGTACATACGATCCCAGTAAAAAGACAGTTACAAGCCTTGATTGCTAGTGTCAGGCAAACGAAGGTTGAAAGAGACAAACGTACGGCATACATGGGTTTGAACAGTCTAGTTATCTGTCCGGAATCGGGGTTATGAGGGCGCCGATAGAGAGGATGCATGATTACGATTACGACCAAAGACCATCAAGAAAAACACCCAAACCTGGCTGCATATCTCAATTCATTTCAAATGTAATGCACTTTGCAGTGGACCTACGGTTCTTTGGTACGCGCCCGCTTTTAGCTTGCACGCCACCGTGGCTAAATTGATGGTTTGGAATTTGGCATTTTTTTTGTAGTTTACTTAGCTGCGATGACCTCGGCAGACTGAAGGTCTCCAATAAAATATCGGAGGATAGATAAGGGTTTGAATCCTTTCATTGTGGTATTTTGTAGGCCTTAACTGATTGGCGTGACGATAGACTTTGACCTGCTCTTGCATCTCATACAGCACAACTCCTTGTCTTCGCATAATTCAGCCGGTCATCAAGCCAGAACCGTCTATTCACAACATCGTGCTAAGATTGAGTAACCTGGACGTATTCAGTTTCAATTTCAGTTTGTACAACCATTAACCAAGCACTATCGTGCGCTGGTGTTGGTTGCCCATTTGGATGAACATTAGGAGAAAGACAGGAAGGTTGAAAGCAGGATCAAAGAGAAAATTTAGAATCTTGGGGGACTAATGTTGCGAAGTAATTGACAAGACGCACTAACGCCACTGGTTACGACACCCAGCCATATCATTTAGTGTGCCTAACCATCGGTTACGACCATCCTGAGGTCCCCAGCCAGGGGGCCTAACGGAATCTATGTGACCCAGGCTCCTGGTTAGGGTTTTCATACCCTCATGCCAGGTCTTAGCTTGACCACCCTTGGCTTTATTCCACCTACTACCTGCCTCTGTAAACATCGCTTGCGTGGCAACCTATCTGGTGACATGCGCAACACACGACGGAGGTCGACCACTTACTCCAGTGGGCGATCGCGGTTGCCTAAAACTCTGCGCCTAACCTCAGCATTGCTCGTCCGGCTGCCACACCAGATTCGTGCAATGCTGCGTAGACAGCGGTGTTTAAACACCGGACGTTGCACGGCTTCGTATCGCCGGTTGAATTGCTCTTTCGAATTCCGATTCCGTTCAGTGTTGTTGGTGGTTAGGTGCAACAGATCGAACGGCATTCGCAACTTCCTATTTATCAAGACTTGTGCTGGGGAAACCATTTGGTGAGCTTGGGTTCGGAGTGCACTGATACAGAAATAGAAACCTTTCGATGACTTCTGCAGTTTCTCCTTCTCTTTTTGATTCCTGGAGGGCCCGCTTGAAGGTATCCGCAAATCTTTTCCTATCAGTGGCTCATGACCGGTGAGGAGTGTGAGTTGTTGACCGTAGTGCATATCATGAATATTTTTCACAGCGAAGGGGATAGCCAAGGCTTCTTTTTCAATTTGACTGCTGTTGCGTTCCATTGCAGCTAACGATCTAGCGGCACTTGAAATCGCCATCTGTGAGCCACCCGGGAATTTGTGGGAGATGACTGCACCTAGTCCGATGCTTGAAGCATCGGCTGCCACGATGATATCAAGTGCCGGGTCGAAATGTGTCAGAAGTAGGTCTGAGCCGAGCATTGACTTGACATAATCGAAAGCGTTCTGGCATTTAGTCGAACAATGCCATGGTTGATCTTTGGCTAGAAGTTCGTCCATTGGAGCTCGGACGTGATGCTCATCAGGAAATGTCCCGTAGTGATTTATGCGGCCCAAGAAAGATCTGAGTGTAGCCAAACGTTCGGTAGTGGCATATTGTGGTCCGTGCCAATCTGTCCAGAACGAAGCCGAGATACTTGGTAGAGCGCATGAATAATTGTCTTCTCGGATTCTGAAACCATGATCTTGAATACGTTTCAGCGCTGCACTCAGTCGGATAAACAATTATTGTGTGCGGCCCATAACGAAGATATCATCCTAATATGCTGTGAATCCAGGCAAACATCAGCTGCTGAAAAAATGCTGGCGCAGTTTTGACGCCGAAAGGCAGACGACTGCAACGGGAAAAGCCACGATGAGCGTTTATCGATAGTAGCCACTTTGAGTCATCAGCAACGCTCTCACGGTGATATACACCTCAGTTTCACCTTTTACGATCATTAAGATAAGAAAAGAATGAAGACTGGAATGCTGAGAGCAGAGACAAAGAGAAGATAGAGAATTCATAAAGACTGGGATTGCAAGAACAATGAGCAGGGCACGAGTGCCACTGTTTGCAACAATCAACCATATCACTCAGCTTCTCTAATAATCCGTTACCATTATCTCGCGATCCCCATCCAGGGAGCTTAATGGGACCTATGTGACCCAATATCCTGGTTGGGGTTCCTCATACCTTCGTGCCAGGTTTTCTTTTGACCACCCGTTTAATTTCATCCGATACCTGCCTCCGCAAACATCGTGATCAGATGATTTACCACCTAAGGGCAAATCGATTCCGCTGACTCCACTTAAGCCTCCTTTCCTTGAGACTGTAAATCTAATTAAACTAAAATGATTGCGACTATTACCAACAGCCGCAGTTTTCTCCATCTCTACACTTTTCTTTCCGCCACTTCGCGCAGTCATTACTCAGGCTCTTGCTAAGTTGGTGTTTAAAGGGTTGGCGAATTTCGTCGTATTTTGCATAAGAAGGCATAGTTTTGCGAACTTGCATCAGGGCATCCGAGGTCGAAAAGATCCATCGTTTTTGTTCTGATCGTGCGCCAAAAACGGACGTTAAAATAATTGATATCAGATAAGTGAAGTTTTGCGAAATAGGTACGACTAATCTGTTTTGCGAAGTTGTCTTCTGGTATAGGAAGTGGATATTGCTGACCTTTTAGTGAAGCGTTCAAACCCGTTGAGAAATCGCCACAAATGCACACCATCCTTTAGGGTTACTTGACGGCGACGACAACAAAGGGAACATTTTTCGCACATTTTACACTTCGAAGGTGCAAAACGCTTAACGAGCATGATAGCGATCCAGAAAAGCTTGTATTTTACCCGAATCTCCCGATAGCCTCACAGCTTCACTTTATGTTAACAGCACAATCTCGTCCAGATCAGACAGGTCCTACCTGCGAGCCAGTCTATGCCACTATCCACGCATGAGGATAGGCCTGTGTCCAACATATCTATAACAGAAATTAAATAAAATTTGGGTGGGTGACAGGTCAACCCTGACGAACACCACGTTCTGTTTTGAACTCGGACGAAAAAGTACCACATGGGCCTTCATGTACGACGCAAACAAAAAGTTAGAACACTTCCAGAATCCGCTTAGACTTCAAATCACAACCTAAGCAGGACAAGTCAGGAGGGATCTAAACCACCGCATAGCTTGCGCAGCACAGGCCCGGATAGCAAACTAAATGATGTAGCCCTCTCCAATCATAGGCAC